GTGTGTGTGCTGGGGGCAGAGGGGGGGGGGGGGGCTGGCAGGGTGGTGAGATGCCTGTGCAGTTCGGCTGGGCCAGGCAGATCCGGACCATCATCTGCCACGCTATCTTCTGCACCCACCCCCATCCACACACACACACACTTGGACGGGCGAGTGGGGGGTGGCCGTGTGTGCGACACGTACCAGGTCGTTCTTCCAGGAGCTGTACTCCCCCCGACTGCACTTTTGGAATCCGCTGGCCGTGAAGCCGCCGCACGAGATGTCGAGCTCCGTTATGTGCACCTCCAGCCCTAGCCTGCCCAGCTGGTCCATCTGCTGCCTCACCCCTGCGCACATCAAGCCCGCCACTGCGCCAATGTGGGGGAGGGGTGGGTGTGTGTGTGTGTGTGTGTACCGTCCCAGTCGTATTTGTCAATGTTGATGTGGCACTGCAGTCCGACGCCGTGCAGCACCACGCCCTTGTTGAGCAGCTGCTGGGCGTAGTGGTACATCGCATTGGCCTTCTTGTAGATGCCCTGCACCCACCCCCCCCACCCCACCCCCACACACACACCCCACACACCGTGTGCGCGTCTTCGTGTTGGTGTGTGTTGGAAGTTACATACACAGCAGGTGTCGATCGAGTTGATGGAGTAGTCGTTGATGAACAGCCGAATCTTGTCGCCCCTCCCCGCAGCGACAGCCATCTCATGCGTCTTCCTGCCACACACCAGACACACATATGCGCCGCGCCCCCACACACATACACACATACACGTCTTTCTCACTTGAAGGCGGCGGCCACCCAGTCGCTCGGTATGTCGCCCCAGTAGCCCGACCGCAGCTTCGGGCTAGTGGGGTCGTTCTGCACGTCGTTCAGCACTGCACACACACACATGAGCACATGAGCACACCCATACGCATCCACCCCGCCCGGCCACCCACACCCACCGCACCTTCGTTGACGACGTCGATGCACCAGAAGAAGGCGTCGTTGACGAACTCGTCCATGTTGGCCTCGATGTGCTTGAGCATCATGTCCTGCCGCTGGCTGACGGGCTTGTTGAGCATCCACCCCGCCATCTGCACAACCACACACACAGACACACACAACCACACACACACTCACACAGAGAGACGATGGCGGCATGATGGCCGTCCGACTGTCAAGCGTGCGCACCGATGTGTGCCAGACGAAGGTGTGGTGCCTGAATTTGAGCTGATGGTCGTTGGCGAGGTCCATGATCTCCCGGCAGCCCCCGCCGCCGCCCTCGCCAAAGTAGGGGAAGTTGCCCTCTGTCGGCTGCACCATGCCCATCTTACCTGCACACACGCACACGCACCAGTGTGTGTGTGTGGGTGTGTGAGGGAGAGGGAGAGGGGTTACACTCATTCTCCGCCACGATGTAGCTGCCCTCCTCTGTGAGGATCTTCGTGACCTTGGGATTGCCAAACTCCCACGTCTGCCGACGTACACCACACACATCCACCACACCGAAACACATGGATGGACGGACACACACCCGGGCCCGTGCGGCCGACCTCACCTCTCCAGCGTATCCAAAGTACATCTTCGCGGCGTTCCCGTAGTCAGGGATGCTCCCTGACACAACACACGCCAGCCAGCCCACCAGACACAACACACAACACCAACGCCCCCCCCTTCTGTCCATGAGAGTGCCCCGCAAGTCGGTATGCACACACACACACACACACACACATTCGTTTACCAGCGACCACCGGGTCCTTGGCCACAAAGTTCTGCTTGAAGTCGTGCACACCGTCGCCGTCGTCGGGCGGGGGCGAAACCGTCGAAATGATGGGCGGCTGAACGGGGGGCACCTGACACACACACACACACACACTCGTCTCAGGGCCCCACGTGTGCTGCGCATCAATCTCTGTCTGTCTGCCCCTCTGCCAAGCGACCTCTGTAGGTGTCTCAGTGGTGGGCAGGAAGGCTGTTGTCGACACAATGGGGCCGCTCTCCGTTGGCGTCACTGTCGGCGCGCTCTCTGTCGGGGCCATTGTTGTTGTCGGCATCATCGTCGTGGGCGACCCGGTTGGAGGCGGCGCTGTCGCAATCTGACCGAGCAATCACCACCAACACGCCCCCAGACACACAGAGAACGCCCCTCTCCCTCGTGTGTGTGTGTTCTGCGTGGATCAGACTCAGTCACTCACGTCAGATGGGCCGAGTGACGGCACACCCCCGCCACCATCGCCACCCCCAGAGTAGTCCCGCTCCCTCGACATGCACGGCGCCCATGCCGGTAGCTCACACGTCGGCGTCTCGGGGTTGGCCGCGATTTGGCTGGGGCAGCAGTTCTCGGCGCCGCCGTCGCGGTCCTCACAGCCGTCGTCTTCACACGAGCCGCACATTCGCATGCAACACGCATTGGTGGCGGCATGGTAGGAGCCGTAGGCCACGTGCTGACGATGGACACACACATGTGGGGGGAGGGGGGGAGGGGGCTGAAGGGGGAGGGCTTATTACTGACTTTGCAGTATTGCTCTTTGGTCAGCTCGAAGAGGCACGGCAGGGGCGCGTTCGTCTCGCATTTTGGCCCGTAGTTCTCAAACTCCATTGGGCTGCACTCACCCGACCAGCCACACACATATGCGTGTGTGTGTGGGTGTGGGTGTGTGTCTGTGTTTGGGTGTACCAGCAGATGTCCTTCTGGCTGCCCATGCAAGCGTCATTGCCGCCGCAGTCGTCCCCGCACGACAGAGGGCAGCACGCCTGCTTGTCGGGGTTGAACTTGCCCATGAGCTCTTCCTCACACAAAGCTGCCACCACGACGCACCCACACACACACACACACACACATCGACGATGGGCGTGTGTGGGAATGTCTCTGCCCACGTACCTTGGTTGCTCAGCTGAGCCTTCTGCGGCACATTGCTGCTCACAGCAGCCGCGGTGGTGCCGAGCACCCTCACCGATTCCCCCCTCTCCAACTGAGCCACCATGCTGTCATCCACAGTGCAGGGGGCCGCATACGTCATCGAGCAATACCCATCCACACCCCGCTGCTTGATCTCCTTGCTGCAGCACAGGTCGGGCCGGCCGTCCGCTCGGAGGGCGCACCCCTCCCCGCCGCAGGTGCCGCACTCCCTGGGGCAGCACACCCCCCGTCGTGTGTGGAACACGCCTCCCAGGAACTCCTCGCACACGCGGCGCCGTGGCCATCGCTTTCTTATCTGAGGGCTGAGCCGGTCGCCCATCAGACAAGGGGGCGTTGTGGTGGAAGCGGCATCACACGACAGCAGCGATTCCTTGCCCCCGTCTGTGGCACATGACGTCACGGTGTCGATGTGGTCTCCTTCTGGACCTTCTGGACAGCACACCCCGCTGGCTTGGTCGTAGGTGCCTCCGAGGAAGCGCCGGCAGAGGGTGCGCTTCTCGTGCAGCGTGGCGGTCGGGGCTTTGATCACGAGGAAGGAGGATGGCGTGACGACGCACGGAGGGCCTTGTGTGAGGCTGCACGATTGCTGCACATACAGAAGACACAACACACAGAAATGAGGCTTCTCTGGGGAGGGGTGGGTTTGTGTGTACGGGGTCGCTGGCTCTGACGCCAGTAGAGCAGCACTGGGTGATGTCGCCCCTGAGCTGGTCGCACGCCACCCCGCCACATCTCCCGCACTCGTGAGGGCAGCACAAATCCGTCCCGTCAAAGAGCCCGCCCAACTTGTGCTCACACAACGCCCTGAACACACCACACACACGCCCATATCTCTACCTCTGTATGTGTGTGTTTCCGCGCCTCACCGTGGGGTCTCAACGAAGGCGTCCTTGGCCGCGTCGTCGACGATGCACGGCAGCGAGTCAGCCTGGCTGCAGTAGGGGCCGTCAGACATCACCCGACCCGCCCCATCACCACGACCATCGCACCCCTGATCTGCCGATGGGCAGCAGATGGTTGACCGGTCGTCGGTGACGCCGCCCAGCCGCGAGCAGAGCGACTGCCGTGCTGAGGCGGGCAATACGAAGGCCTCCTGGTGTGCCGCCACGTCGGCTCGACGCCAGGGTGTGTAGAAGTCGATGGGGCTGCCGATGCTGACCGGCGAGAGAGCGAGGGGTGCCAGCCATGAGACGAGACGCATCTTGTCATCGGGCACGGAGTACACCAAGCAGATGGCGTCACGGTCACTGAGACTTGCGCCACTA